AATTAAAAAAAAACCCATGTGGCACAAAAAGCTTATCAGCTAGCTGAGACCACAGCCAGAGATGGACTTGTAAGGTTGTGGCAATGGGCTGTTTCCGAACTCCCCCTTTTTATAGCAAGAAGCAAGCATTAGGCATGAAGAAAAGAATTTTTTACAATCTCAAGGTAAAACTCAGATACAAATTGCTTTTTTTTTTTTTTAACAATTCCCATTATTCCACTAACAGGGTTTTTCAGTTAAACTAGTGTTTGTATTTAGCCCATTGTTTCTCTCTGGCACTTTTTGCTGGTGTTTAACAAAGCTCTAACGCTCCCCTGATACGGCCTGTTTTGCATAACAGGGAAGGGTAAGGGACGATGTACAACCAAAAACTCAGGTACATCCCATCATTTAACAGTTAACTCAGCTCACATCAGTTGCTGGTCATGAGTGGCGGGCAGGGGGGAGTATCTAAAAGCTGACCCTCAGTTCGCAGAGGGCCACTACAACCTTGCAGACAGAGCTATAAGTCATCCACTGTAATAGCTGATCCTTAAGTTGCTGAGAAAGCGGCTGACAGTCTGTTCTCATTCTCCTAGGCTTACAATTTTATATTTCTTTATTTATACATTCTTTTTTCTGGAATCTACACTTTTATATTCTTATTCTCGGACTCTTCACTGCTTTTTCGGAGGACCAGGGTTCAGTTTCCAGCATTCACTCTGGATATTTCTAAACCAAGCGTATATAACTCCATTTTCAGGGGCTCCAGCACCCACTTCTGGCCTCCATGGACACCGATACTTACATGAACACATACACACAAACACACATGAACTGATTCTTCTTAATCTTAAAAAAGAAATCCCAACTTCCACTTTTTCATGAAACATTGCAAATCTAGGCCCATATTCTCACAAGAATGTTAGCAATTAGAGGTGATTTGAACTGTCCTGCCCATGAACAAACACCTTTGTCTTCCAGCCTGGGCCTTACCTTGAATAATGGTCTGAATTAATGTGAATAAATTGTTTATGTTATAGATACAGGCTGCCAGGTTCGTTTGTTACACTTTTAGTTTTGTTTTGTTCTGAGACAAGGTCACTATAGTTTGCAATGGCTTGATCTTACTATGTTGAACCAAGCTGGCCTCAAACTCAGCAAATCTCTGGTCTCATGTGCCCTAGTGCTGGGACTATAAGCCTGCAGCATCACTATGCATGGCCTACAACATTCTCTAGATTACATATAATACTTAATACAGCGTTAATTGTCTGTAGTCATGGTGTTGACGGAGAATGATAAGAAAAGTCTGTATGTGTGCAGGAAGCAGTGTGCCGTCTAGTTTTATGTCAGCCTGACACAAACTAGAGTCCTTTGAAAAGAGGGAACCTCAGTTGAGGAAATACCTCCATAAGATCCAGATATAGGGCATTTTCTTAATTAGTGATTGATGTGGGAGGGCCCAGCCCATTGTGAATTGTGCCATCTCTGGGCTGGTGGCTGCAGATTCTATCAGAAAACAAACTGAGCAAACCATGTGGAGCAAGCCAGTAAACAGCGTTCCTCCATGGCCTCTGCATCAGCTCCTGCCTCCAGGTTCCTGTCCTCTTTTAGTTCCTGTCCTGACTTCCTTCAGCAGTGAACAGTGAGTGATATGGAACTGTAAGCCAAATAAACCCTTTCCTCCCCAAGCTGCTTTTGATCATGGTGTTTTATCATAGCAATAGTAACCATGACTAAGACAAGAAACAATTTCATCTGAATATCTTCCATCTATAGTTAGTTAAACCACCAGTATCACAGATCCCGCTGATATGGGGGCTATGTTTATAAATAGGTGTGTGCATATGTACATAGATACAGAGAAAGCAAGCATACATATACAACAAAGCCCTCTGCTCTCATCTCCTAATAGCCCCTCTTCGAGAGACTTAACTACACCTATGCAAACTAGGATGTGGGCATCCCACTGGGCTTTTATTGAGGGCTGAGTTTGTCAGGTACATTCACAACTGAGTCCCAAGAATTTGGGAAGAAATTAACTGGTGAAAGAATATTTGTTCTAGAACTTGAAATTGGCTCATGAAGAATGAGCATGAGTTTATCTGAGAAGTCTTTCTCAACAGAGGGAACTGGAGCTAGAGGTACAAATTTAAGGAACAGATAAGAAATCTGTGGTATTTGGGCATGGTAGCACATTCCTGTAATCCCAGCACTTTGAGAAGTAGAGGCAGGAGGATAAGGAATTCAGGTCATCCTCAGACTTGAGGCCAGCTGAGGGCTACCTGAGGCCCTGTCTCAATCAAGAAAGCAAAGGTGTGTGGGAATCCATGGTGGAGAAATGGTGTAACGGTTCATCTTGTCCATCAGCTTGACTGAATTTAGACTCACCTTCGAGACACGACTCTGGGTATGTCTATGTAGGGATTTCCAGAACGGTATAGCTGAACAGGGAAGACCTACTCTGTGTGCTGAGGTCCCGGACTGAAGAAAAGGGCAAAGCAAGCATGCAAGCTTAACGGGTCTCCAGGCTTCAACTGCACAGCTTCCCACAATGGCCCTCTCCAGACCTACATCCAGGGACACCCCTGACACGTGTCTGGCCTTGATAGCTTTCTTTAGTCTTGGTGGCAAATTCCATAACCTGTTTCTTCCGTCCTTAACTCTAAAACCGGACCTAAGTGGCCAAAGCTGTCAAGTTCTGCTGCTTTACTAGGGCTGGAACATGAACTAAAAAGAGCTTACAGTCAGGTGTGGTGAGGCACATCTCTAATACCAGTCCCAGGAAGGCAGAGGTTGGCAGATCTCCAAGTTTGGGGCCAGCCCGGTCTACAGAGCAGGTTTCAGGACAGTCAAGCTTAGGCAGTGAAGGCAGACATGTTTCAGTCATGTCACATAAGCTCCCTCACAGGCTTGTTATTCTCTTGTTAGTCTAATGTTGGGCATCAAATCCAGGGCTTTGCAAAGGTCTACACAAGCACTGTATTTGTGAGCTACCTCTCTAGCTTCATAAGCACGTTAGTAGCCCAGACTGGCCATTCATGGCGATCCTACTGCATCAGGCTCCTGAGTGCTAAGAATATAGGAATGAGCTGCTACATAAACTCTTGTCTGTTTGTTTTAGATGAGGTAACTCATAGCTCAGCTGGCCTCAAATTAGTTATGTAACAGAAGATGACCTTGAACTCCCTGATCCTCCAGACTCTGTTGCTGGGACCACAGGTGTGCACTGCCATAGCTAGTTTTATACAGTGCTGGGGGACTGAATCTAGGGCCTCATGCATGTTAGGCAAGACCTCTACCAATGAACTACATCCTCAGCCCATGTAAATGGAGACTGCCTAAACCTGAATAATCACACAGAAGCTATATTAATTACAACACTATTTGACCAATAGCTTAAGTATACTCCTAGCAAGCTCTTACATCTTAAATTAACCCATTTCTATTCATCTATGTATCACAACAAAGTGCGGCTCACCGGTAAGGTCCTGGCATCTTTCTCCTTCGGCAGCTACAAGGCGTCTCTCTGACTCCACCTACTTGCTCCACATATCTCTTCCAACCTGCCTATATTCTTCCCTGCCATAAGCCAAGGAAGCTTCTTTATTAACCAATGCTAATAAAACATATTAACAGCATACAAAAGGGTATCCCACATTAAGCCCATAAGTGTTGCTGGAGTTTTTTATACTCTTTTACTCTCTGGGGGCCCACCACCCAGCTCCCAAATAATCACACGGAGGCTTATTGCTACTTATAAATGTCTGACTTTAGCTTGGCTTATTTTTAGTCGGCGTTTCTTAAATTATCCTGTCTACCTTTTGCCTCTGGGCTTTTACCTTTCCCTATTTCTGTATATCTTTTCTTTACTTCTTACTCCATGGCTTGCTGTGTAGCTGGAGTCCTCCTCCTTCTTCTCACTCCTAGATCTTGTCTCTTCCCAGATTTCTCCTATTTATTCTCTCTGCCTGCCAGTCCCACCCATTCTTTCTCCTGCCTTACTATTGGATGCTCTGCTCTTTATTAGACCAATCAGGTGTTATAGACAGGCAAAGTAACACAGCTTCACAGAGTTAAACAAATGCAACACATTGTTGCATTATTAAATAAATTTTCCTCAACATAAACAAATGTAACACATCTTTAATAATATTCGACAACACATAAGCACTGTGACGAGATCATCTTTATCACTGCTCCAGCCTGTGAAGCAGCCCCACACTCACGCTCTTCTAATTTCTTCCTGGGTGGCCAGAAGCAAGGCATCCAAAAAGAGGCAAAAAACTAGGGTTGTGCTAACTGCTATAACAAATAGAATCTACTATGTACAATGGCTCCAGGTTTGTTTCTGAGGACTCTCAGAATTATCCAAACTGGTGTTCTAGGTTGATGGATGACATGCCTCCATGCACGGATACATAGACCCTGCTTCTTTTTCTTTTTTTCAAGACAAGTTTTCTCTGTAGCTTTGGAACTTGTCCTTGAACTCACTCTGTAGACTAGGCTGGCCTTGAACTCACAGAGACTTGCCTGTCTCTGCCTCCTGAGTGCTGGGATTAAAAGTGTGCACCATCACCACCGAGCTGTTTATTTCTTCTTGTGGCTCCAAGAACCTCTAGGGAAGTAGTTCTCAACCTGTGGGTCGAGACCCCTTTGGTTGTACTTCAGCGATGCTGCATATTGGATATTTACATTACGATTCGTAACAGTAGCAAAATTACAGTGATGAAGAAGCAATACAATAACTTCATGGTTAGGGTCACTATAATGTGAGGAACTGTGTTAAAGGGCCACAACATTAGGAGGGTTGGGATCCACTGCACTGGAGTCTCACCTTCTTCTCTATCCAGCCAGGAAAGACAGACAGAGGCAGAAGTCCATGAACCCAGAAGTTCAAGGCCCATCTAGGAGACATAGTGAGACCTTAGGGCTGGAGATGGTCCAGCGGTTAAGAGTGTACACTGCTCTTGAAGACGGCCTGGGTTCAGTTCCCAGCACCCACATCAAGCATCTCACAGTTGCCTGTTCCTCCAGCTCTAGTATATCAGATACATCAAGCCTTCTCATGCACTGGAACATATATCCACATACATACACACACAAAATAATGAAGTAATAATAATGATTAATAAATAAAAGAAATCTCTAAAACAAAACACATTGTTCTCACTTGTCTCAAAACTTTGGGGTAAGGCCGATGAGATGGCTCATCAGGGAAGGGGACTACTCGCTACCAAGACTGATGATCTGAGTTTTATCCCCAGAACCCAACTGGAGAGACGAGAGAACCACCACCTGATAGTCAGCCTCTGACTTCTACCACAGCATGAACATGTACCCACACATCCAATAAATAATAAATTGGTGAAATAAACTTTTTCAAAGAATATTTTCCTTTGCACATGTTGGAAAACTATCCACTCATTTTATAGTATTTAGAAATATTGGAGACCGGACCTTTGCACAGAAAATACATCATAACGAGGATGGATCCATTGTGATGGGATAAGTGTCCTTTATAAGACAAGACAGGAGAGAGCATGCTTTCCTCTCTCTGCTCTCTGCCACATGTGAGCTCAGCAAAGAGATGGCCACCTACAAGTCAGGTCTCACACATGTGAGCACAGCAAAGATGTGGCTGTCTGTAATCCAGGATTCACACATGTGAGCTCAGCAAAGAGATGGCTGTCTGCAAGCCAGGACTTGTCAGACCACAGACTTCTCAGTGCTTGGTCTTGACATGCCAGCCTCCAGAATAGTGAGAAAAGCAAACTTGTTCAAACCACCCAGTCTATGATATTTTTTCTTTATAATTTAAAAAATATTTTTATATGTATGACCATATTACCTGCACTTGTGTCTGCGTATTTCCTGCATGCCTGGTACCCTTGGAGGCCAGAAGAAGGCATCAGAGTCTCCAGAACTGGAGTCAGAGGCAGTTGTGAGCTGTCACATGGTTGCCGGGAATGGAACCCAGGTCCTCTTGAAGAGAAGTAAATTACCGTTCTTAACCACTGAGCCATCGCTCCAGCCCCATCTGTTTGTTTGTTTCTTTGTTTCAGGACAGAATCTCATTATGTAGTCTTGGCTGATCTGGGGCTATGTAACCAAGGCTGGCCTCAAGCTCACAGAGATCTGCCTACCTCTGCCTCTCAAATGATAGGATTAAAGGCATGCACCACCACCGCCCAGCAGCAAGGTATTTGTCTGAACTAAGATAGTTCTGCGCCAAGGTGGGGTTTCTCCATATGTATGGATTAACTTGCCTCTTTGGTATGGATGTATACAATTCATTCTCCTAGCCATTGGTACATGTGTGCAGACCTGATGGGGCTTCTGACTACACATAGACCAACGTATGGATATGGTGTCATATGTACCTACCGAAGGCACTGTGCACGCATGCACACACACACACACACACACACACACACACACACACACAGATTGAGGCTGGTGTAGCTAAGTCTGACCTCAAATTTACTGTGTAGCTATAGCTCCAGGTTCTCCTGCCTCAACCTCCCAAGGACTGGCATTACGGGTATGTGCCACCACATCCAACTTCTCATGTGTATGTCTGAAGCTTTAGGTGCTCTTGTGAAAGGAAGACATGCATTCATGACATGCACACCCATGTGCATGGTCACACATGTATATGTGCTTACCTCTTTGCTCTCCGGTTCATCAGATGACAGTCTAAGGATAAGGTCTCTGCATGCAAACTGCCTAGGGTAAGAGTGCTAAGCATACAGAAGCCTGGCACATAGTAGGTATGGAGTAAATGCATAAAGCACACGTATGGATAGCCAGGACCCAGTACACATGTCCCCACGTCCAGAGGAACCCCTGCCATACTACATGGTACAAAAGCTCCTACTTATATGGCCATACACTTCTGTGAGCTGACAAACAGCCTTGAAGCTGCCAGGCTGAGCCAGAACACTCCAGGCTCCTCACTCGGCACAAGGAGGCTCCTGCTGTGTGTTGGTGCTTGCATGGGGTGCAACCGAGGGTGCGTTGGCGGCATGTGTGTGTGCGTGAACGTGTGTGTATGCGAGTAGGAAGAGACGTTCTCTCTCTTAGACCTTGCTTCTTTCTGTGGTTTGGTTTCTATAGAGACACTTCCTGTGGCAAAGAAAAGAGGTAGTGAGCTGGTGTTTCAGGATGTGAAGGCCCGCAGGAGCACAGCGAGCTCTCTCCACTGCCTGCCTGCCATCCCGAGAGAGCTCCCCGATCCGTGCTTCTACAATCCTTGTGGTGGGTGGCCCCCCGTGGCGGGGACCTGTGATCAGCGGCGGTATGCCAGGGAAGCCCAAGCACTTGGGTGTCCCCAACGGGCGCATGGTGAGTGCAGGCTCTGAGCCAGAGCCACAGGGAGGGGTGGGCACACCTAGGGTGGAGTCCAGGAGGCACACCCAGCAAGGTTGAGGAGGAGCCCAGGGGGCTGCCAGCAGGCTGGAGAAGTTGGGCGCAGATAGCTGCTGATAATGGGACCTGGTGCTGTCACCCCAGGACCCTTCCAAAGGCCCTGCTAAGAGTCTGGTGCAACCCTAGAGATGAGCCCAGAGCACAGCGGGCACAGGCTCTGTTTCCCCACGTAGGTTAGGCTCCCTGCTCCCTCAACTGCTCCTAGGATTAGCCCCGTCTGAAACTGCTTAGAAAGTGGCATGGGGACCCAGTGGCCCTGTCACTCCCTGCTCACTCTTACAACCACTCAAGTGCCTACGCCTCTGGGCCTCAGCCCCCTCTCCTCACCTCATGCTCTAGGTGCCCAAGATAAGGTTAAGGGCTGCCCTTGCTGGATCACTACATCAACCTGCTCCAGAGGCATCCTGCCAGATTTTTGGGGCTGCCCAGGATGGGTCAGTAAGGATGGGACAGGATGAATAGCTCTGCCTGTTCTATTCCTAGCCTCCAGGAAGGAGGGTGTGGGGCGGAGAATAGGAAATCCTGGGCTGCGGCTATCCCTACACCCTTCCAGGTCATTTAACTCCTGATGAGAGCTGTCCTGGAGCTGGTTTCTGGTTCTCCTCATTCATTCAGCAAACGGGGCAGACTGTGCTGAGCCTCCCTTTGCTTGGCAGGGAACTGGCTCATCTGGCAGAGTCACTAACAACTCCCTGATAGTCACCGTCCAAGGCCTCAGCCTAGTGCCATGAGACAAAGCCAGTGGGTCCAGAGTGACCTGGGATCCCAGTTCTAGCTCTGTTTTCCTTCCCTTTCCTACTTTGCCCTCTGTAAAATGAAACTGGGATGGATCAAAGCCCATTGCCTAAGCAGCATGATGAACCTGAGGGCTAAGGACATGTTAGCCCCCAAATCCCTATATTTTCAGCCCCTTTTTAGGACTCTTTTGCCTCAGCCAGGCGATGGTAGCGCACGCCTTTAATCCCAGCACTCAGGAGGCAGAGGCAGGCGGATCTCTGTGAGTTTGAGACCAGCCTGGTCTACAGAGCTAGTTCCAGGACAGGCTCCAAAGCCACAGAGAAACCCTGTCTCGAAAAACCAAAAAAAAAAAAAAAAAAAAAAAAAAAAAGACTCTTTTGCCTCACTAAACAGATGAGCCATCCCAGTTCCCACCCCTACTTTCCAGTTCCCAAGATTTGTCTCCACCTCTTGACCGGCAGTTTTACTGCCAGCACTGAGCTATTTGGGTAGAGGGAAAAGGAGAGACCAATTCCAAAAGTTGGTCCAGCCCCCACCCTACTTCCTCTACTACCAACCCACCTTAGAAAGTCCAAGGAGAGCCCGTTTGCAAAAAATCAGCCAGACTGATGCTTCTGGAATAGAACCCAGAGCTGCGGGCCAGCTGAGGGGGCTGGAGACAGACCCAGCCTCTCCTTCCTGTGTCAAACCATGGCTTCTCTATCCAAAAGTCATTCAGAGTAAAGAGGGTGCCCCAAGCTCTGCCCTGGGTCCCGTCAAGCCCGCAGCTGCCCCAGGTCCTCTCAGTAACCGCCACACATATTTATCTCTGTCCTTTCTGGATCAGCTCTGAACTCTCTGTATGACTCTAGAGAGCTCATGGTTCACAGATGTCGACTTGCCGGACAACAGGCAGTTTTACGAGGCCATACTTGGCTGGAGCAGAGACAGGAAGATAGGGGTAGATGAGTATGGAGAGAGGTCTGTGGGTAAGGTGCCCGGTTGTTACCTCACGGGGGAGGCTCAGAGGAACACAACTGATATCCTGTTGAGTAGAAAGCTCCCCGTTTGCATATACCCCGTGTCCCCCAGCAGCGACTGGCTCTGGTCCCTTCCCATCCTCCAACATTCCCTGCTGAGGCGATGTCATCAGCCTTAGCCTTCTGGCATTCTGCTTGTCAAGCAGCTGAAATGAAACCTGTCACTTCGAGAGCGCTCTGAGCCCCCTCCCGAGAAATCGTCACATGGTACCAGCTGTCACTCATCTATGCGCTCACTCATTCACTCGGGGGCTGCTCTGGGCTGTCCCACTCTAAGCACTAAAGACCCAAGTCAAGTCCCGGTTCCTCAAGCAGCCCACAGTTTGCCACAACGTAGTGAGGCACAAGAAGACAAGAGTGGAGATTACTAGAATAAAGTTCTGGTTTGGGGAAGAGCTTAGGTCAGGAATGGAGAAAGTCCGAGAGGAGCCTGGCAAGGAAAAGCATCTTCTCCATTAACTTCTAACACTGGAGTAGATGGTCCTTAAAGGATATGCAAGCTAGGGGGGGGGTGGCCTGGGGGAAACTTGCATATCGGAAAGCATACAGTTACTGTGGAGGGATACATCCCGAGGAAGTCTATGACTTTAACTTTGAGTTAGTCATAGTTCTCTTTCTGCAAACTCAGGTAGCGCTGGTCCCCTCAGCAAACACTGGCAAAGAGACCTACAAGAAACTCATGTGTCTCTATGTTCCTGGTGTCCAGCTCAGGGTCAGGAATGGCAGGGGCAGGACAGGGGTATATTATAGAAGGGCCAAGACTTGAGGTCATCCCTAAGGAGCTGTCTCAAGCTGAAGGGACCAGGCACTAAGGCCGTGTAGACATCCACAAGAGGGAATAAGATCACAGGTCAGGTTCTTGACTCTGGAAGGCATCAGGGATATGTGGGAGAATACTGGAATCGAGTCTGGTTTGAGTAAGTTTACAGCCAGGGATAGAGAAAACCTGAGGTGTCCACCAGCCGCTTGCTCCCTCTTTAAGATCTGAATCCTCTAGGGGCCCAGTTCAAGAGGAATCTCTGGGCCTCAGCTCCATTGGCTTTGCCCACCTATGCCCAAGGCCTGCAAGTCCTGGTCCTCCAGGGTCCCCCATTTATACTGGAAGTGGCGAGGCTGGGAGCAGTGACACCTGCCTTTAGTAACAGTGCCCATATATGGAAGCAGCCTGGAGTGGCATGGTGGAGTCTTCAGATTCCACAGCAGAAAGACAAAACGTGGCTTCTCCTACCTCCACCACTTTCCAGCTCTACAGCTTCTCTGGCCTTGGGTCCCTCACCTGAAAAACAGGGGCAATAGCATTCGATGCGGGGGACAGAGATGTTGAGGGTCGAGGAAGAATATGGTTGCCTGTGGCACAGCTGGATCAAGAAGCTTGAGGTGGCTTCCTCAGTGCCCTCAGGTCCCAGCTGCTCCCTTAGAGCCACTTCCTAAGAACAAAGCATGACAAATTAAAGCCAGACCCGACATGGTTGGGAGGGAGTGTCACTGGCCACCACGCCCTTCCTCATCCTTTCTTCCCCTTTTCCTTCCTCACTCAACATGGCACCTCAAGCGGAGAACTGGGGTCACTATCGAACCCAACTTCTCCATGCCCTGGAGCCTGAGTGAGCCATAGCTGTGGCTCTGGATCCCACTTTGCCATAGCTGACTCTCTGACCAAGGTATATCCTGTCCAGACTCACGGCAGCCCCCAGAGGCAGGGAATGCTGAGCCCCATGCTCCCTAGGGGAAGATGGGCTGAAGGAAAACCTGTTGTTCTAGCTGTGCAAATGACCGGGCAGGAGCTGGACTCCTTCCTCCTTCCCCCAAGTCCGGGATTTCTGTCCCATCTTCCACCTTTCTGGGGATTCTACTTTCAACAGCCAGAGGGGCAAGGAAGGAAGGAACAAAGAACCTCAGGAGGCAGCGTGGGAGGGGGCACCAAACGGCTGTGCCTGAGCATGGAGAGGGCACTTCAACCAGAAACTTAGTCTTATGGGTGCTTGGGCATAGAATCCAAGAGGATGTCCCTGGATCCGGGATTTCAGGTAGCCTCCACAACAAGACCTGCCCTTGTTAGGTTCCTAGGAGCTGCTAGGCTGCAAGGATGAGAGCCCCAGCATGAGCGTAGAGGAAAGGGAAGGGTGAAGACCAACATTTGGGGACAACTGATGATGGGGCAGGATCTAGGAGCGGTGCCAGGCGGCTCTAGAAGTAGGTACTCAGGCAGAGGAAACAGCAAAACAGGAAGCAGGGGTGTGGGGAAAATAGAAGTTTGATGAAGTGTGGGGTGGAGGTGAGGAGGAGGGAAATGATGTCGGAGGGGCTCATTAGTCAAGCAGGTAGGGTTTAGCTGTAACTTGGCAACAGCAGCCCTACTGAGGCAGGCAAGGAATTGAGTCCAGGGTGGAACAGTGGGGAGGAAAGGGCCTGGAGAAAACCTGGAAGGTGGCCCTATTAAGGAAATGCATTTAATTAAAGATAATACAAAAATAAAACCTCTGAGAACCAAACAAAACCCTAGTGCATCTGGCTTCGGTGCCCCTTCGGCTATGTCAAGGACTCCTGCCAGAGAGAGCTGACTGCAAGGGACAGGCTGGTCTGGGATTGGGGGACAGCCCAAAGGCTAAGGATGCTGGAAGAGGGTAAGGCATGCACTGAGAAGGGGACGCATCCTCGAGCTAAGGGGAGGACGGCACGGGCTTGAAGTTAGGAGCACAGCTGCAGCTGTGGAGCAGCTGGGGGAGGAAGGCAGCAGTGGGCGCAGGCAGGTGCAGAGGAAGGAAATAGCAGGCTGCCTGGGGACTGCAGGCCTCCTGAAGGATCTCCCACGCCCAGGAATCAGGACTTTCTCGTCCTTAGCTGAGAGATGTGAGGACTTTGGTGGAGAGATTTGACTCTGATGATGAGGCTCGTTTCGAGGAGTGTGAGGCAGAGTGTGGAGTGGCGGGGTGGGGGTCAGAGTGTGCTGTGCTGGAGGTGGGGAGTGGGTGCCACACCCAGCTCAGGCAATTGCAAACTTTCTCTCTTGCAAGGTTGCAACCCCCATGCAAGATTGTAGAATAAGAAGAAAGCAGAGCTAGGATTTGAGTCCTTGTCTTGAGAGCCCCGACAGGTGTGCTCTTTGCTATACTGTAGGGTAGCACACCCAAACACCCAGCAACATCAGCTTGGATGCATACTGGTGAGACAGCAGTAGCTGTAAATTCTGGAACATCCACTGCACACCACACAGTGTTTTGGGTTCCTTCTGTGTGTCTGCCTCGATCAATGGAGGCAGAGCCATTATTTGCCCAATTTCCAGAGAGGCTGAAATGATAACCGAGTCTTCTTCCCAAAGTCACACAGCATGAAGTCCGACTTCAAGCAGTCTAGGTGGTGCTTGCTTCCTCCTGCCTCCAAATGTAGCACAGATGCATCAGACTGCCCCCAGAGTCCTTTGAGAGGGATGAGAATCCCCCTAGGGAACGCCACTGGCTACTCAGGGCCAGTACAGCTGCTGCTCTGAGAAGTTACTCACGATACCATGAGCATCACTCTTATAGGGGAGATAGGAAAATGGAACCGATGGAACCAATGCGGAAAATCTCTCGATTTTTAAACATAGGAGACCCCTTTAAACTTAACTTTTTCCTTAGAGGCCAAATAATATCCTACAGTATCCTGCAGGCCTATCCTGACTTCCACATGACCCAGGAATGGAGAGCAGAGAACAGAGCCAGGGTGGCTTTCCCAGGCTTGCTTGAGGGGGTGGGGGAGGGGGGACATAATGGAAGTGTCTGCACCAGGACTTAAGGAAAGGTAAGAGGGAATGGGGGTTGGAGGTGCTAGGAGCCTAAGTGATGGAAAAGAAGACAGGATACAGGCGAGCTGTTTCAGGTCCTTCACAGTGGAGATAGAAAGGTGACCACCTGAGACTGGCTGAGTTTGAACGGCTTGTGGGGCATCTGGAGGCAGATAGTAGCAGGAAACTCTGTGTGGTTGGAGCAAGATGTTGCGGGGAGGCACAAAGGGCCCAGAACAGAACAAGAAAGGGGAAAGTCTGTCCTGCGTGGGTAGGAGTCCATGGGAGAGCTGGGGAGCTTCGGGAAGGTAGGAAAAATACATAAGAAACCATTGCAAGAACTGCCAGATGTGTGTGGGGGGTCTGTTTCTCCAGCGGCAGAGCTCCCAGAGAAGTCAGAATTAGTGTACGCTGTAGGGGAGAACGGAGTTGGCCTGAGGGACAGTGATACTCGTTTTATGGCCCCTGGACCAACACCAGAATTGCCCAGAAAGCCTGTTGGGAATGGAAAGTTTCAAGTCCCACCCTGGATCTACTGAACCTGAATGTCAGAGGGGGTCCTCCTGGTCACTCTCTGCTAGAGTTGGAGTCTGATGGACACTACTCTGTGCCACAAAAGTAGCATCTATGCCACGCCCAAGGTATGGGGAGATGAGCCCCCACGGAGAAACAAATGCAGTTAAGTTAGCTACGGAAGCATCTCCTTCCTCAAAGACAAGACCGGCCTGGCCCTTACCATACCGTATGCTAGGCAGTGTTATAAACACAGTGAATACGGTTCCTGGGGGAGGTCATCATTTGTAGCAACACCCCTTGTTTACAGATAGGAGCCTCTAAGTGAGCTATGTGCCCAAACTCATAAAACAGTACCTGGCAGAGGCGAGATGGAAGTCTGTGCACACCTGGACCCACCTAGAAGGGCTAAGAGAGAGAGAGAGAGAGAGAAGGGAGCCATGAACCACTAGAGTACCCTGAGAAGTCCCAGCACACAGTGGTTGGCACCTGATAGAACAGGGGCCAGGACAACCTGAGCAAAACCCTAGGCAGTAATGACTCTCTGGAGACATTCAGCCTGACTCTGTAGACAGGAAACACAGTTTCCAGCTCACGGAAGGCTGGGTCCTGTGTGGCCCAGCCTTGAAATTCCTTATAGAGTTCTACTCTAATTTTTCAACCTTGGGTCTCTCCTAGGTTCTGGCTGTCTCCGATGGGGGTAAGTGACAGACTGTGTGGATGAGGCATGACTGGGAGGGAGGGATAAGGAGGTGGAAGTGAGTGGGGACACTCCCCGCCACTTGCTGGTCTTTCAGGTAATATCCCTGAAGAGTAGATGCTTGCCTGCAACGGGGATTGGGCCAAAGGCTGAGGAAGGAAAAGGGCTCACCCTCCTTGTCCATCTCTCCGCAGAACTGACCAGCACAGCAGGTTCCCAGGGCCAGAGTGAGGGCCGAGGCAGCTCCCTCAGCATCCACAGCCTCCCCAGTGGCCCCAGCAGCCCCTTCTCCACAGATGATCAGCCCGTGGCCAGCTGGGCCCTGTCCTTTGAGAGGCTGCTACAAGACCCACTGGGCCTGGCTTACTTCACTGTAAGCCTGGGAAAGGGGGGGGAAGGATGGGAGGGGCAGGTGCCACTGCAGGGATGGGGGATTCTGAAGAGGGCATAGACAGGGCTTCAAGTTGGCTCGCTGCTCCTCTCTGTGGTCCCTCATCTAGCCTGTCTTTGGCACCCTTTCCCTCACCCCCGAGCTGGGAACTAACTCTTCCTTCTCCTTGTCCTCATCTCTGCTTCACGTTTTCTTTTGGTACCCAGATCTGCCACCATCTGTCTGTCTGTCTGCTCTCTTGGCCCCGTGTCTGTGCCTGTCTTTGAACACATCCCCGATTCAGCCTGTGTCTGAGCGTCCTTCCTCTTCTCATGCCAGGAGTTCCTGAAGAAGGAATTCAGTGCAGAGAACGTAACTTTCTGGAAAGCCTGCGAGCGGTTCCAACAGATCCCAGCCAGTGACACCAAGCAGGTGGAGAGAAAGATGGGACACAGGGGTGGGGACTAGGCCTGGAGCATGCCCCCTGACCTCTTCCGGTCCCTCATCCCCCAGCTATCTCAGGAGGCCCACAATATCTACCATGAGTTCCTGTCCAGCCAGGCGCTGAGCCCGGTGAACATCGACCGACAGGCCTGGCTTAGTGAGGAGGTGCTGGCCCAGCCCCGGCCGGATATGTTTCGAGCCCAGCAGCTTCAGGTGAGGGGACCTAGGGGCAAGGACTGAGAAGGGAGACCTGTGAAACGCCCAATAGGAGCAGACACAGAGGCGAAGTCAGAGCAAAACTGAGGCAAAATTGATGCAGAACCAGAGTCAAATGCAGGGTCAGGGCGGGAGGAGAGGGTGAAAGCCATGGGCAATAGAAGGATGGACGGGGCGGGGCCAAGAGGAGGGCGGGTCTCAGACTCCAGGTAAATGACAGGAACTGGGGCAGGGCTTGGGCCTCTCTTTTACGGGCTGGCGAGGGCAAGGACACAAGCGGTGCAAGCAGAAGCCACCCATCCAGCCCTTCACTGTCCTTTCCTGGTACCAATCGCCACCCACACCCGCTGGCCGCGCAGATCTTCAATTTGATGAAGTTCGACAGCTATGCACGCTTCGTCAAATCCCCGCTGTACCAAGAGTGCCTGCTGGCTGAGGCCGAGGGACGCCCCCTGCGGGAACCTGGCTCCACGCGCCTCGGCAGCCCCGACACCTCGAGGAAGGTGCGTACCTGGGTAGCAGGAGGCTGGGCAGGGACCGCGGACAGTCTCAGGATGGGTCTTCCCCAGCTGTGGATCCCGGTGCTGGGCTAGGACCCTGCTCCGCACTAGAGTCTTCCCTGTACCTTCAGAAGCCGAAGCTGAAGCCTGGGAAATCGCTGCCGTTGGGCGTGGAGGAGTTGGGGCAGTTGCCGCTTGCTGAGGGCTCTTGTGGCCGCCCACTCCGCAAGTCTTTTCGTAGAGGTGAGGCCGGCTCTAGGAATGGTGTGGCCAGGAAGCTTGGGTCAATTTTGGAAACGCCCCCTCTCCCTACTTGACCCACACAGTCTGCAAGAAGGCAAAACCGAAACCCCAAAATGTAGGTTCTTGAGACCACCCGGTTTCTCCAGGAGGCTGCGCTTCCGTGCTGCAACCCGGAAGTTTGGGAGGGCTACCCAAGGACCCACACACTTTAAGCCCCGGCAGGATGGAGGGCCTTAAACAAGACCCGCCAAATGGGAGGGCCTCACCAGAGGGATGGTGAGAGCAAGCAGGTCCCTTCATTTCTGACTTTCCCTTAGAGATGACTGGTGGAGCCGTGAATTCAGCACTGCGACGAGAGTCTCAGGGGTCCCTGAATTCTTCCGCCAGTCTGGACCTGGGCTTCCTTGCCTTCGTGAGCAGCAAATCTGAGGTGAGCGGCATTTCGGGGGGAACAAGGTGCCTTTCTGGTAAGGGTTACTGCCAGTTCCCTTCATGGGTGGATGTCTGTCCTTCTACTCCTAGCTTACTCCGCAAAACCATCACTCCACCCTTCTTTTCTTTCCGTGCTTGATACAGTACTCTCTCTACAAATCATGGGGTCATGTTATCCGCCGACAGGTGCCTAAGCATGTGTGGGTACCTAGATGTACCCTGCATGATGTGTGTGGTTGCTTTGTGAAGCTGTCCTGAGTGTCCACATTTATTTTATTTTTGTTTTGAACCGGGGTTCTTTTTTATTTTTTTAAATATTTATTTATTTATTATGTATACAATATTCTTTCTGTGTGTATGCCTGCAGGCCAGAAGGGGGCACCAGACCTCGTTAAAGATGGTTGTGAGCCACCATGTGGTTGCTGGGAATTGAACTCAGGACCTTTGGAAGAGCAGGCAATGCTCTTAACCTCTGAGCCATCTCTCCAGCCCCAAGGGTTCTTTTTTTTAAAAAAAAAAATAATTTATTTAATTTTATGGATATTGGTGTAAGGGTTTCAAATCCCCTGAAACTCGAGTTACAGACAGTTGTGAGCTGCCATATGGGTGCTGGAAATTGAACCCAGGTCCTTCTGGAAGAGCAGTCAGTGTTCTTAACCACTGAGCCATCTCTCCAGCTCCCCAAAGCAGGGTTTCTATATATAGCCCGAGCTGCTATGGATCTCCTCAAAACTTAGAGGTCTGCCTCTGCCTCCAAGTACTAGGACAAAATGTGCCACTGTGCCCAGCTGAGTGTCTACATGTTTGAGTGTGCATACCTGTGTTTCTGGAGCAAGACATATCTGTGCTTGCCTCCAGGTGCACCCTTACACGTGTGTAGATGTTTGTGTCCCAGCTTATAGCATCCCTGTGTACATATAGTCTCTGTCTGCTCTTGCCCACAACCAGAGCCACCGAAAGAGCCTTGGAAGTGGAGAGGCGGAGAGTGAAAGCCGGCCAGGGAAGTACTGCTGTGTGTACCTGCCTGATGGCACCGCCTCTTTGGCCCTGGCTCGACCAGGCCTCACCATCCGAGACATGCTGGCAGGCATCTGTGAGAAGAGAGGCCTCTCTCTACCTGACATTAAGGTCTACCTGGTGGGCAATGAGCAGGTATGAGCATGACCTGGCTCCAACTCTTGCTTCTTTTCTGGTCATGAGCCAGTTCTTTTCCTAATTTTCTGGCCACCCCTAAATCTAACTCATTCCCTATCAGCATCCCCTCCCTGTTTTATTCTGACCCTGTGTCCAAGTCTCCATGCATCCTAGGGCCAACTCCTCATTCATCCTCAGATACCCTTTCATATTCCTCAAAAACCCTACTCACACACAAACCTACCCCATAGCCTGGCTCCAGCTTCACCCAGCACCCTGCTCTGATGGTTGTGGGGAGGCAGAGCTGGGGAGAGGGTGCTGCTGGAACTGGGAATGTCCTCCACTCCCACACTTCCCGCCATCATCTCCATATGCCCGCCTCTAAAGTTGCCATTGGAGGACTCACCTCTGCCACCAGAAGTATTCAGTGAGCCCTAATCTCTGAAGTCTCCGTAAAGTGAAAATGAGCACCAAGCTCTAAAGTCTAGGGAAACTCTTTTTAAAAAATTATTTATTTAAATTTATTTATTTTTTTAAAATATTTATTTATTTATTATGTATACAATATTCTGTCTGTGTGTATGCCTGCAGGCCAGAAGAGGGCACCAGACCCCATTTACAGATGGTTGTGAGCCACCATGTGGTTGCTGGGAATTGAACTCAGGACCTTTGGAAGAGCAGGCAATGCTCTTAACCACTGAGCCATCTCTCCAGCCCTATTTAAATTTATTTTATGTGTGTTGGTGTGAAAGCGTCAGATCCCCTGGCAGTGGAGTTACAGACAGTTGTGAGCTGCTATGTGGGTGCTAAGGATTGAACCCAGGTCCTCTGGAAAAGTAGCCAGTGCTCTTAATTGCTGAACCATCTCTCTACCCCCAGGAAAGCTCATTTTTAAACCATCCTGGAAGGGGGCCCCAGGGGAACAGTGCTGCATTCCAGGGGAAGTGAGAGGAATTTATTCAAGTCCTAAGAGGCAGCCAAGGTGTGTGATCAGAACTGGAACCCAGGCTGTGTCTACTATAGGTTCATGCTGGAGGGAAGCCAGGCAAAAGGCGATTAGGGGTCAACCCTCCAGAGTGAGCCTTCCAGGGAAGGCGGGCATGTCTGGCCAGAAAGCTTCCTGAGAGGCAACAGCCAGAGTCCGGGGGCAGAGCTTGTCTGGGATGTTTCAGGAAGAGGGAGGCAAGGAGGTGTTTGCAGGACCTGGGGTGTGTAGGGGTGTGAGGGGCAGCAATGGGAGACACTCTGCCCACCTTCTTAGGCCACCAGAACAGCTGCCAACAGCCCAGATGGGCTTTGGTGCCTGCTAAATATAACTTCACCACCCACATTCCACCTGTCCCTGTGTCCCTGTCTGGGAGAGTTCCCCCACCTCCATTTTAAGCCCATCCCCTACAAATCTTAGGCTGGTACAGACAGTAGTCTTGTCTGTGCACCTACTGTGTGTCAGGGCTGTATCATTTCTGGTCCAGTTTGGGGGGTGGCTGGAGCTGGTAGGAGGTGGGGAGACTGACCTAGGCATTAAGGAGGCGAGAGGTAAGGTCTGGGTGGCTAACAACAGGTGGGTGGTGAGAAGAAGTGTGTCTCATACCTGAAGGAACCGGGATCTAAGCTTCATCCTTACTGAAGATCCATCCCTCACCTCCATTAATATGTAAGCCCCCCACCCTTCTGTTTTCCCAAACTGGATCCTTTCCTAAGCTTCCCCTCACACTCCCAAGCATCTTCCTTCCTTCCTTCCTTCCTTCCTTCCTTCCTTCCTTCCTTCCTCCCTCCCTCCCTCCCTTCCTTCCTTCCTTCCTTCCTTCCTTCCTTCCATCCTTCCTTTTTCTTTTTCTTCTTCTTTTTCAGAGGAAGCAGTGTGTGTGTGTGTGTGTGTGTGTGTGTGTGTGTGTGTGTGTATCTTACTCTGTAGACTTAGCTGGCCTAGAACTTGCTAAGTAACCCAGGCTGGCCTTGAACTCTCCCAGTCTCTGAGTAGAGTACTGGGAATAAAGGCTTGCACCATGGTGCAGGTGCCTTTGCGGCCTTGCCCAGGGCATCTTCCCCTCTTATGATCCCTTGGCCTTGGTCTTCCCAGGATCCAGCTCTGCTGGTCCTTAGCCCATCTGCCTCTCTAGCCTTCTGTTACCCATGGGCTGGTCCTTCTGGTCTTTAGGGTACCACAGGAGGAAGTGAAGGTGATTCCCAAGTGTCCCACCCCCATCCCCCGGGATAGCATGGGAGGAGGGAGGGGATTCTTAGAACTTGCCTGGCATCCGCAGAAGGCCCTGGTCCTGGATCAGGATTGCACGGTGCTGGCAGACCAGGAAGTACGACTGGAAAACAGGATCACCTTCCAGTGAGTGCCCTACCCCAAAACTTGATCTGGCTTCCAGCTGTCTACTGGGCTCAAATCTCAGATCTCATCCGCTGAGCTGGGAACTCTACCCCCTAAACTAGAGCCCCACCCCCAAACTGTTCCACCCTCCATGTTCAGTTCTGGCCCCCTCCGGGCTTGTTTTGGGAAAAGGGGGCCCCTGGGTCTCCACCACTCCGCAGCTCAAAGGTCCCATACAGGCTGGAGTTGGCTAACCTGGAGCGTGTGGTGAGGATCTCCGCTAAGCCCACCAAGCGTCTGCAGGAGGCGCTGCAGCCCATCCTGGCAAAGCATGGCCTGAGCCTGGAACAGGTGGTCCTGCATCGCGTGAGTGATGGAGCTGTAGGCCGGGCGGGGCGGGGCGGGGAAGGCGGGAAGGTTTTACGGTCTGGCTCATAGGCTCCAAACCTCTTTCTGTAGCCAGGGGAGAAGCAGCTGTTGGATTTGGAGAAGCTAGTGAGCTCAGTGGCTTCACAGACACTGGTTTTGGACATTCATCCAGGTAAGTGATGTGTATACCCTGGGACTTGGTTTCCCAGGGCGGCTCTGGCACAGGAGGAGGGGCCTGTGGGAAGAAGGCCAAACCCAACCGTGATGCTCTCCGTTGTAGATGCGAAGATGAGTGAAGCCGGCAGCACATCCCCCTGCCGTAGCCAGGTAACCGAGAACCCCAGGGCCTCTTCCCACTTTCCTCTTCTCCCCTCCTGGTTGTGAACTTCACCCCTCTTTCTTGCAGGGATGCCTGCCTAGAACCCAGGACAAGGACGCTCATCTTCCCCCATTGCCCTCCAGTTTGCTTGTGGAAGAGGCCAGCAGTTCTACTGGGAAACGGCAGACCTGTGACATTGAAGGTGCCCTGCCGGTGGTAGTGGGGGCCACGGGATCAGAGGGAGGAGGGAAATAGGATCAGGGCTGAGTATCATTGAGTGTGGCCTGAGCTACGGGCGGGACTAAGGGGCCATTGGCGCTGGAATATACTGATGGTCTGGGGTCAGATTGGCCATTTCAGGCAGCAGAATAGGGAAGCATTAATACAGATGTTCCGACCATATGGGTCTCCTGACTCTGTGGCTGTCCCCAGGCCTGGTGGAGCTGCTGAACCGGGTGCAGAGCAGTGGGGCCCATGACCAGAGGGGACTTCTTCGCAAAGAAGACCTGGTACTTCCAGAATTTCTGCAGCTTCCTTCCCAAAGGCCGGGCTCCCAGGAGGCTCCACCATAGACTGAATCAACCACCCAGCCTAAGGAGGGCCTTTCAGACTCCTCTGCCACCCAGCCCTCTGACGCCTGTGTAACAGTCCAGGTTGGCTGCATGGTGCCTGGGCGGACCAAGCATGCGTGGGTCCGCTCTGCATGCCCTGTCTGCACCCTGAGTGTCCCTGGCCCCTTTCTGCTATGGGCGGGCCCACAGAAGGAGCCAGGAAGGGATGGAAGGGGAACTCAGAGGAACCACGTGCCCAAACTATGGCTACCTGTTCTCATAGGTTCACCTACCTGTGCTTTGCAGCTAGGCCATCAGGGGAGGCCAGGCCAGCCTCTTGGCATAAGCATACTGAACACAAATGGGTGACTTTGGCAGTGCCAGCCTCCTCAGCTTGTTCTAAGCTTTGGCAGGGGACAGGAGGAGGGGCTGGCCCCTCCTTAATGAGTTGATACAAGTAAATTTCAGGCGCGCTGGTGAGCAGCCCCTCCCTCCATTCACTTAGACTCTACTGTACATAGGGATTTTATGGTTGGCTTGGGGCAGCTGGGTTTGTCCTGAATGTATGATATTGTTATAATAATGATAATTATTATTATTCAGCCGAGGTGTGTTTCTTGTGTGCCACTCTGGTCTGTATGGTCCCATTACCCCACTGCCTCTGTCGCCAAGGCCTGGAAGTTCTTGGGAACCTCAGTGTATACCTCCCGACTTTTTGTTTTCAAACTCTCTCTTCCTGAGGCGTGGAAGGCAGAGAGAGGGGGAAGGGAGAGGGGGAGAGGGAGGGAGAGAGAGAGAAAGAGAGAAACGTTGGGACCATCCTCTATAGCTGGGCCTTGCCATCCCCCAGCTGCTCCACAGTGTCCGTGGACCTGAATGCATCGTTTTTGTTGATATTCCCTGTTTCTATCAGGGATCTGATGTATCTCCACATACATTGCTGAGGGCTCCTTAGGATGCATCAGAAGCTTATATGTAGGACCAGGCTAGGCCATGTATTTTTTTCCTCATCTGCTTCGCTGGGTGGTACCCCACCTCTAAGCAGCCAGGAAAGGCAGGGAGGGAAGGAGAGGAGACTGCTCAGAAAGAAAGCCTCAGTCTGCAGGGAGAGAAGCCCAGCGTGGTCCCACCTAGGGAGGTGAGGGGGAAGAGGAAGCAAGGTGGCTGGAGTGGGTGGGGCAGAGTCCTGCACACAGGTGAGACCACCTTGCGTGGATCCTCCACCAGGACCTTCTCCTGCTCTCTCTTCTCATCTGACTGGTTCCTTGTCATCCTTGAAATCTGTGGGATCGATCAACGGCTATGCTGACCCACTATGCCTTCCTCTGGGGGTTTCATGTTCCTGCCACCTGGTAACCCCCTCACTTTATCTGACTCTTTAATGGACCCCCAGGCTTCTGAGGGAGCCAATGACACAGGAATATATATATATATACCCACACAGGCAGAGTTTGGCTCAGAGGTGGTTGTCTAAAGCTGCTCTAATAAGAATCGTAATCCCTCGCCAGGTATGGTGGCACACGCCTTTAATCCCAGCACTCAGAAGCCAGAGGCAGGCAGATCTCTGTGAGTTCGAGACCAACCTGGGCTACAAGAGCTAGTTCCAGGACAGGCTCCAAAACTACAGAGAAATCCTGTCTCAAAAAACAAAACAAACCCTGTCTCTTCCAAAGAAGTCGGGTTTTGTTATTTTGTTGTTGTGAGAGGTTTTTTTTTATGCTTTATATTCTTCTATACTCTTAGACTATGATCTAGCACGTGGCAGTTATACAGTAAAAAAAATGCTGAAATGATTGACGTCAAAGTCAATCTCCCAGCCAAAGTCACCACAAGGCTAGATGGTCTCCTGGTCTTTCTTTTGTGATGTGTGAGTGTCATATCAATCTGTTGATTTCATTGGTTAAGCAATAAAGAAACTGCTTGGCTGGCCCTGATAGGTTAAAACATAAGTGAGAGGAGTAAACAGAAAATAATGCTGGGAGGAAGAGGAAGTGAGGTAAGACTCCTCAGACAGACTCCATAGTTGCTCTCTGAGAGACACACGATGAAGCTCCGACCCAAGATGGACGTAGGCTAGAATCTTCCCGGTAAGCGCACCTTGGGGTGCTTACACACATTATTAGAAATGGGCTAGTCCAGGTGCGAGAATTAGCCTAGAAGAGGCTAGATAGAAATGAGCCAAGTAGTGCTTAAATGAAAAAAAACAACAACAACAAAAACAAAAAAAAAAACCCACAAAGCAAAGCAAAAGGCAAAAACAAAAAAGGATCAAACAAACAAACAAAAAATAGTAATCCCGGAGCTGGAGAGAGGGCTCGGTGGTTCAGAGCACCGGGACTGAGTCTCAGCGCCCACATGTCAGCTCACAATTATCTGTTACTTCAGTTCCTGGGGTGCAACATCTGCTTTTGGCTTTCGTGAGCACTACACACACGGTGCATGACAGACATGCAGGCAAAAACACCCATATGCATAAAAATAAAGATGAATAAATCTTTTCATTTTCATTCCAATGATGTTGGCTTATTTGCATTTGTAGAAAGACCTTGCACACAGAAGAAACCCACATAGGAGAGGACTCAGGTGGCAGACAACCCACACGTCACGCATACCTGAAATGACCACTCTTTGACTTTTGCTTTAGGCAAACCAGTAAATTCTTCCTGGAAGCATGGACTTGCTACTAAGAGGTGGGCTTCTAAAACCCACAACCACAAGAATCCTGGACGTGTGGTCTGGAATAGGCTCAGCGAAACACAAAGAGACAGCTGGCATTGGGGGACTACACACTGCTAGGGACTATGTGGTCTGGGAGTAGAAGCAGGGGAGACAAATCCCTTTTGCTAAAAACAACTTTCCTGAGAGAAATGTAAACAGTGTCTACCCTCCTCCTAAGGTTCCAACAAGAACCAAGAATGATTCCCCCGATGCTCCCCTAGGAGCACAGGTGATTTAATCAGAAGCACGGGAAGGGCTGCACCGAGCAGAAACGATGGCTTCCCCATGGCTGCAGAGATGGAGCCCCACCCCTTCTTTCTTTAGGCATCTTTAGCCTCTAGCTTCTCCCAAAGACCCACGCCATTAGAGAAGAATGGCACAGAAGCGTGACTGGAAACTCAGGTGAGGGCCCCGTGACAGCTCTGCTCCCTCCTTCTCTGAGGAAAGTAAACAATCAATAGGTTATCTTCCCCAGCAGGCTTAGCTGAGCTCCTGAAGGTGGCAGCTATTAGGCTCACAGGACAGCCCTGAACAACAATCCCCTTCTCTTCCCTCATCTCCCACAGAACTTCCCTCTAATTTTCTGGGACAAATGGGAAAACGCTCTGCTATGAGCTTCGGGGAGAGAGGAGGGGACACCAAGTGAAAAATGGGCTGTCTCCCCAAAGCTGGTGGACCCTATAGGCCAAGCTGACCTCTCCCTCAACCCGGAATATCTGCAGAGCCAACAATGATGCATGTTGCCTTTATGGCCGGGAGAAAGCAGAAAGAGCCCTAGGAAAGTTCATCTCCGGCTTGGGAGAACCGAATCTCCCAAGCTCCCAGACTGGATACATTCTAACCCAGATGACTGGATACATTCTAACCCAGATGACTCGATACATTCTAACCCAGATGACTCGATACATTCTAACCCAGACAACTGCATACATTCTAACCCAGACAACTGGATACATTCTAACAGTTTTGTTCATCTCCTGCTAGGGAGAAAGGACTCTACGGAGCTCCCAGGCTGGATACATTTTTGTTGTTTTCCTTTATCCAACAATCTGATGGGGATAAAAGTTCAGCTTCATGGGGAAAGTAACAAGGAACTGTACTGGGGCTTCACTACACTCAGGCTGCTAGATCCAGTAGCATGATCCTGGGATGCCCGTGTGATGTAGACACCTGATGAGAGTATACTAGTACCACTGTTCAGTTCTGGAGGAAGTCAGGAGTTTCAGTTATAAGTCAGAAGTAGGGCTGGAAAGATGGTTCAGCAGTTAAGAGCCCTCACTGTGCAGTCCTGAAAATCAGAGATCAGATCTCAACACCCATGTACCAACCTGGACATCCTGCACATGCCTGCGACCCCACCTCTAATCGACGTAAAGACAGGAGGATCATAGGGGCTTCCTGTCTTCCAGGAGAGCAGAGAAAATGTGAGGCCCAGGTTCAGAGAGAGAGACCCCGCCTCAAAGGGACAGGCCAAGAGTGATAGAGAAGACACCGGACACCCTGCTGTGGCCTCCACATGTGTGCACAGATGCACACATACACAGAAACACACACACAAATATTCTTTTCAATTGTTACATTTTAAATTTTTAATAGGTACATGTGGAGGTCGGAGGACAACTTGTAGAAGTTGGCTCTTTCTACCACATGGGACCTTTGGTTTGACCTCAGATCATTAGGCTTGGACGCAAGAGCTGAGTCATCTTGGCAGTCTAATAAACGAATCTTTAAAAAGTAGAACAAGCCCGGCGGTGGTGGCGCACGCCTTTAATTCCAGCACTCGGGATGCAGAGACAGGCGGATATCTGTGAGTTCGAGGTCAACCTGGTCTACAGAGTGAGTTCCAGAACAGCCAGGGCTATGCAGAAAGAAAAAAAAAAAAAAACAATAACACAATAGCAACAAAAGAATGAAGATTTACTGGCAAAGGGTGTATGTAGCTCAGTGGTCGAGCAGATGCCTAGCATTCTTGAGGCCCTTCAATCTCCTGTACCAGAAATAATAAAATAAAAATAGAAGTTTATTTGACTAACAGTTCGGGAATCTGGGAAGTCTAAGGGTATGGTTCTGGCACCTGGTGAGATCCTTATTGCCAAACAGTAACGTGCTAAAAGGCATTACATGGCAAGACAGCAAGCTAGCCAGAGAGATGCTTGATAACAAAGTCACTCCCAAAGCAATACATCAATCCACACCTTGATTAATCCATTCATAACACCAGAGCCAAGCACTTCTCTCCCAATCCTGACTCTATGATGTGGTTCATACCTGGGAGGCAGGCTAAGACAAGAGAGACTGTGAGTTCAGGTGGCCTGGACTACAAATCTGAGCTATAGAGAAAGCCTCTGACTCAAAAATATAATAGAGAGCCAGGCAGTGGGGCTGCATGCCTTTAATATCAGCACTCAAAAGGCAGAGACAGGCAGATCCCTGTGATTTCAAGGCCAGCCTGGTCTATATAGTGAGTTCCAGGACAGGTTCCAAAGCTACAGAGAAACCCTGTCTTGAAAAACCAAAAAATAAAAAAAAAAAGAGGGAGAGAGAGAGAAGAAAACAGAAAGAAGCCTGGCAGTGGTGGTGCATGCCTTTAATCCCTGAACTTGGGAGGCAGAGGGAGACAGATTTCTGTGAGTTTGAGGACAGCCTGGTCTACAGAGCAAGTTCCAGGACAGCCAGGGCTACGCAGAGAAACCCTATCTTGAAAACCAAACAACAAAACAAAGAAAAAGAATAAAAACTTTAAAATTCACCATTCAACACTGCTTTACCAAGGACCAAATTCCCAATATAAATATTTAGTAGATATATTCAAGCCATACTGTGTCTGTATATAAAACACAAACATAGAGACACAGAAGTACAGAGAGGAGAGAGTTTTCTCTGA